ATTCCATTCCTTTTTTACTCACAATTTGTACAGTGTCCCAACTTTTTTGGAATCGGTTTGTATATAACCGAAGCTATAGATTATGAAATTAAACATTTCTCGTTCTTAGTAGTTAGCTTAGATAGTAGCATCCGAAATGATTAGAGATAACGTTTTTCTCACCATCTACGATATTTTTCGATAAAAAACTTCGATAACAAATATGATTATTCAAGCATAATTCTGTTTAAGAATTAATTATGACATGACATGCTTGTAATTAAAACAAGTTATATTATGCTTTATTGCTTTAAGCTGCAGTAGGGAGTTTTGAGAAAACGTTGACTTAGCCTGAAAATTTGAACAAGCACAACTTACAGGTCCCACCCCCTTGCTCTCTGCTGCGCTACAGCCCTCCCTCCACAGCTCGTCCTCCACAGCGGAGCCTGTCGTGAACGCGCAGGCTAGTAAACAGGGCCACCGATGACGGTGGATAAAAAGTTATATGGCACATTCACTAATAGGGACTAAACGTCAATAATATGCTTTACATTGACTATGGCCTGCCCATACTTTGACTACAAACTTGGTCCTCAAATCATTATGTATTTTCCAATAGCCTACATGTAACTTTATAACGTTGCACTCTTTCTATAAGTTATAAATAGCTAGTAAGATAACGTTAATATAACGGTAACTAACGTTACAGCATGTAAGTAATTATTCTAGCGATATAAAATGCTAGATAAGGTGTGCTAGTACATTATTTCAGCAACATGACAAGCCAGTGAATTAGCAGGTTTCAATGGGCTCTATGCACGGCGGTATTTCCGGTGAAGGTCTAAGGATGCTGGATTACTTCCGCCGATCGTAGAGTCCAATGCTATACCGAGAATTTATATTGGTTTTTATACTCTATTGCTATATTAAAGAAACGTCTCAGGTTACGACTGTAACCGTAGTTCCCTGAGAAAGGGAACGAGACGATGCGTCACTTGACGCCTTGGGAACGCCCCCAGCGTGCATGCGTCTGAGCATCAATGTCAACTAGTCCAATGGAAAGAATGAGCGTCACGGGCGGGTGACGTCATGACCAGGAAGGGATAAAGGCTCACCCGGTGAAACGCGGCATTAGCTTCAAAAAGTCGAAGCAAGCCGATCACAGGGAAGCAGGAAGTATGGCAGGGTGACGCATCGTCTCGTTCCCTTTCTCAGGGAACTACGGTTACAGTCGTAACCTGAGACGTTCCCTTTCGAGGGAACTCTCGATGCGTCACTTGACGCCTTGGGAACGAGAATACCCAAAACGCCAGAATTCCAAGTACCTGAGTGTCAGTCTGTTGAAGCTAAGCACTAAGCACCTGAGAACCTGGGGCAGCATCCAGGTCTAAGCTGTAAAACCTGATGAATGTGAGCGGTGAGGACCAGCCTGCCGCATCACAAACGTTTTGGAGGGAAACCCCAAATAACAAGGCTTTAGAGGCCGCCATACCCCTCGTTGAGTGAGCTCTGACCACCAAGGGACACGGATGGTCAGAGTACTCGTATGCAAGTGAAATAGCCTCGACTATCCACTTACTAACCGTCTGTTTAGAAGCAGGAAGACCCTTCTTAGGTGATCCAAAGCAAATAAATAACTGGTCGGACTTCCTCATAGAAGATGTCCGATGAACATAAGTATCCAGTGCTCGCACTGGACACAAGAGGTTCAGCCTTTCCTGGTCCGCAGATGTAAAAGGAGGAGGACAGAAAGCCTGCAGCACGATAGGCCTCGGAATCAAGGTCGGCACCTTAGGGACGTATCCCTGTTTTGGATATAAGAATGCCTTGACCATCCCCGGTGCAAACTCAAGGCAAGTGGGGGAAACCGAAAGGGCCTGAAGGTCTCCAACTCTCTTAAGGGATGAAATAGCTAGCAGAAAGATAGTCTTAAGGGTAAGAAATTTCTCTGAAACCGAATCTAAGGGCTCGAATGGAGCCCTAGACAGGCCTTCTAGTACTATTGCCAAATCCCAAGCTGGCACCCTAGTGCGAGTTGCAGGCCTCAGCCTCAATGTGCCACGAAGGAAACGTGTAATCTGGGGGTCTCGACCCAACGATGTACCCCCAACCAGGGCGTGGTAAGCCGCAATGGCCGCCACGTAAACCTTAAGTGTGGAAGGACATAAACCTGACGTAAAGCGCTCCTGCAAGAACTCGAGTACTGTGTTCACAGAACAGTTAACCGGATCCCACTGATGTCGGTGACACCATACAGAAAAAACTTTCCATTTCAGCGCATATAGTTTCCTAGTAGCTGGAGCTCTGGAGCTTAGGATGGTCTCAGCAGCCTCAGCTGAGAGACCACTCTCTATGAGTTGGGCCCCCTCAGAGGCCAAACCCACAGGTTCCAAATCTCTGGTCGAGGGTGAAATATTGTGCCCCCGGCCTGAGACAGAAGGTCTCTCCTGATCGGGATCTCCAAGGGAGGACCGTCTAAGAGATGTATCAGGTCCGCAAACCAGATCCGACTCGGCCAGCGTGGTGCTACAAGCAGTAGGCTTATTCCGTACTGGCGGACTCGTTCCAGAACTCCTGGGAGCAGAGCAACAGGGGGAAATGCGTACAGACGTAGCCTCGGCCACGTCTGCACCATAGCATCCAGCCCCAGGGGGGCTGGGTGAGTAAGGGAGAACCAAAGTGGACAGTGCGTCGTGTGCTGAGACGCAAACAGATCCACCTCTGCTTGGCCGTAAAACTCCCAAATTTTCTCCACCGCCTCGGGGTGGAGTCTCCAGTCCCCTGGCCTCAGCTCCTGCCTCGACAGGATGTCTGCCCCCACATTCTGGTCCCCAGGAATATACACTGCCCTCAGGGAGAGTACCTTCCCCAGAGACCACAGGAGGATCTGGTGCGCCAGTTTGCAGAGCGGACGCGACCGCAGACCCCCCTGACGGTTCAGATAAGAGACCACTGATGTGTTGTCTGTTCGTACAAGCACATGATGGCCCCTCAGGTCTGGGAGAAACTGTCTCAACGCATTGAAGACAGCCATCATCTCCAGGAAATTGATGTGCCACGAAAGATGATGACTTTTCCACAGACCCTGAACCGAGCGGCCTTCCATTACCGCTCCCCAGCCGGTGAGGGAAGCATCTGTCGAGATCGTAACACGATGGCAAAGGGCTCCCAATACCGGACCCTGGGTTAAGAACCAATGTTTCCTCCATATAATTTAGGCACGAAGGCACCGCCGCGTGACCTTGATCATACGAAGTGGGTTTCCCCTCGGGGAGAACCCTCTGGTCCTTAGCCACCACTGTAAAGGTCTCATGTACAGCAGGCCAAAAGGAATCACGTTGGACGCTGCCGCCAAGAGGCCCAACAGTCTCTCGAACTGTTTCACAGTGCGTGACTGGCCTAGCTTTAGCTCTTTGGTGGCTGTCAGGATAGCAGCTACACGAACGGGCGATAGAGTGGCCCGCATCGTCACTGAATCCCATACCACACCAAGGAAAGTGGTTCTCTGTACTGGAGAAAGAACACTCTTCTTGGCGTTGAGCCTCAACCCCAACATCTGCATATGGGCGAGAACGACACCTCGGTGCCGAACCGCCAACTGCTCTGATTCCGCCAGAATCAGCCAGTCGTCGATGTAGTTCAGAATACGTATGCCCTGAAGCCTGAGAGGGGCTAGAGCTGCATCCACGCATTTCGTGAACGTGCGGGGTGATAAAGCTAGACCGAAAGGAAGAACCCGATATTGGTATTCTTTGCCCCCGAAAGAAAACCTTAGGAACTTCCTGTGCTGAGGGAGGATGGAGATATGGAAGTAGGCGTCCTTCAGATCTATCGTGACAAACCAGTCCTCGGATCTGATTTGAGTCACGATCTGTTTGAGTGTCAGCATCTTGAACTTGAGTTTCTGTACTGAACGATTCAACAGACGAAGATCTAAAATGGGACGCAACCCCCCATCCTTTTTTGGAACAATGAAATAACGGCTGTAAAAACCCGACTCTCTGTCGGGTGAGTACACCTGTTCTATAGCTTCCTTTGCTAACAGGGCCTTTACCTCTTGCTCCATTACCAGAGCCTGCTCAGGATGCACCACTGTGGGCAGCACCCCGTTGTAACGAGGAGGACGAGAACCAAACTGGATTCTGTATCCTTTCTCTACAATCTGCAGGACCCAATGAGAAATATTCGGCAGAAGCTTCCACGCTGCCAGAAAATTTACTAAGGGAACCAGCCTCTCGAGGCTGGTCTCTGGTGTTATCGAGACAGCCAATTCCGGAGCCTGAAACATAATGGCAGGAACTACCTGAACTGGCCGCTCTAAGGCCCCCCTCAGAGGGCGCGAAACCGATGCTGTGCCGCAGCATAGCATCAGCGACTCGCTGGAGACCGCTGCGCCCTGAAGCACCAAGGGTGGCAGGGTTGGCAGAACGGTCTCGTGAGGACCCCGAAATGGAACGGGCACCGTATAATGAGGTGAACACCGCTCCACTTCGGTCGGGGCTGTCCTCACAGGCCTGATGCATGAACATCAGGACCTTTTTTTTTTGAACCGAAGTCTTCTTCGCCTGAAGAACGGTCCTCAGATCCGGCTTCGACTTAGAAGACTTCGGTTGAGAGGGTTGCGTCCGTCTCCAGTCTCTACGTGGAGGTGCACGAGACGCAACACTCTCTTTCTGATGCACACGATATGATGAGCTCGACGGCTGGGGCTGCTCACGCCCAGCAGTCGCAGGGGGCTGGACCCGGCGAGGGATAAACTTTTTAAAAACGTCCGCTTGTTTCTTTGACTCCTGAAATCTCTCGACGACCGCGTGGACTGCGTCGCCGAAGAGACCAGAAGGTTCAAGCGGAGCATCTAATAAAAAAGCTCGATCTTTTTCTTTAATTTCAGACAGATTTAACCATAAATGTCTCTCAGTAGCTACCAAGGCTGCCATAGACCGCCCAATTGCTCTGGCGGTCTCCTTAGTAGCCCTGAGAGAAAGATCGGTAGCCCGACGAAGTTCACGAATATCGTCATGACTGACTCCCTCACTACTATCCAGATCCCCCAGCAGGTCAGCTTGATAAGCCTGGAGCACTGCCATAGTATGCAGACATGCTCCAGCTTGACCTGCTGCCGTATAAGCTTTGCCCACTAACACCGAAGTGGCTTTAAGCGGTCTAGTGGGCAAAGCCGAGGCTTTCAGAGACGATGCGGGACCAGGGGAAAGATAACTGGCTAAATTCTCTTCCGCCTGGGGCATCGCCTCATAACCATACTCTTTCAGCCCTCTTATTCTCGAATAAGTGTTAACATGAGGGCTGAAAAGACGTGATGAATATGGTTTATTCCACGATTTAGAAATTTCATTGTGCAAATCGGGAAAAAATGGAAGCCCTCGTGGTGGAGATAATGTGGTGGAAGATAAAAAGCGCTCATCTAATTTGCTTTTAGGACGAGCGCCCTTCTTCTCAGATGGCCATTCAATATTTAATTTCTCTACAGCCCGCGACATAACATCCACCAGCTCATCATATGCTGGGGAAATAAATTGTGAATCTCTTTCCCCCATGTGTGTGCTTACACTCTCCACACTCATCGCATCAACCTCCTCGGAGGAAGAGCAATAAAGTAATGGAGGGCTCTCTCCCCGGGCAGAAGAAACCGCAGAGCGTGCTTCCGACACCGGGGAGAGAGCACTGGATCTCTCGGGTAAGGAAGGAGAAAGAGCCCTCGGACCCGTCTCCAACCCCTCCGAAAGATCCTTTTGCGATCCCCAGGAATGCATTCTCCGCGCTGCCTCAGCAGACGCGGGTCCTGATCCCTGTGGATCGCGAGCCTGCCCACTCTCTTTATCAAAGAGTGACAGGCGAGAGCGGAGCATGCGAAGCGGTAACATCTCACAATGCTGGCACTCAGCCCCCTCGAAGGCTGAGACCGCATGCTCCACTCCCAAACAAACGACACAAAGCTCGTGTGTATCCCCACCCGTTAAATAACGCGGGCAGGGAGAAGCACACTGTTTGTACACTTGTTTAGTTTCCATCCTTTTCCGCAACAGACAACAGTAAATAGACAGAGACAAAATGACACAGATCGCTTGCTGAGGCGCAGAAGCTAATGCCGCGTTTCACCGGGTGAGCCTTTATCCCTTCCTGGTCATGACGTCACCCGCCCGTGACGCTCATTCTTTCCATTGGACTAGTTGACATTGATGCTCAGACGCATGCACGCTGGGGGCGTTCCCAAGGCGTCAAGTGACGCATCGAGAGTTCCCTCGAAAGGGAACGTTAGGGACCTTTCGGTATTTATGGAAAGGGCCACCGGAGGAAAATAGGGGAGGGTCATGTCTTTTTATTCTTTGTTGAGGGGAGGGTCATCCAACTTTTTTAGTCTATAGGGGAGGGTCACCCAACTTTTGTATTCATCAAAACAGCTACATTTCAAAGTGGCTTGTTTGGTGCATATTTTTTCCATGTAGCTTTATGTAGCTCTCTCGGTCTCGGCCCCCCATCGCTATCTATGGTCTGACCCAACAAAAATCTAGTTTGGCGCTGTTTGACAGTGCGCGCGCACTTCAGTACGCGCTCAGAAAAAGTGTATTAGAACAGAACGCCAAAGTAATGTTTACCCGGCAAAGCTTTAAAGCACGAGCAAATAATGAACTTTTGGGATTGCGAATAAGTGCAGTGTCCTGTGAGTGTAACTCTACCGCTGCATTAACATTTGATGTGAATGTACGTAGAGTTTTACAGTATTGGGACTGAGGCGCCAGAACTGCAGCTGATATAATGTGCGCTGTAGCACGATACTACCATATTTCAGTTTCCATTCTTATTGTGTTTCCACAACAATGTTAGTGAGCAAATCTACTGAAATTGCCCCCATAACAGTGGAGTGTGATGTGTTGGACATAGGGCTACCACATTTTTAAATTACTATTAGTATTATTTGAAGTTTACATAATAAAATAGACCTACACCAAAAAAACTAGTTGAGGATAAATTCTTTAAAATTGGGCAATTCCAGCGTTATGGATGTCACATTTGCTGTCAAAACATGAAATATAAATTCTCAGAAAATGCATTAAATACTGAAACGCCTGTTTATATATTCATACTCCAAGGCGGGCTTACACGGTGCGATTTTTTTTTTTTTTTTTTTTTTGCTGTTTTACGAGCTCGCAGATGATTTTTTTTCACTCGGGAGAAATCGCGTGGTAATCGGTTGTGCTCGCATGTTGCGGGCGGCTCATGTCGTGTGCTAGGAAGATACGAGCCGAGCCGAACCTCTCGACCTCACGATCATTTTTAAACATGTCTAAAAAGTTCGGGAGCTGTAGGCTTGGATTCGTGAGGTGTGTGCGCTGTGCGGTTGAATGAGCCGATGTGTCGATCTATCTGAATTTGACCAACCAGGAGCTGAAGAAATCCACAGAAGAAAGACGAACATGGCAGCGCCACCGCGAATTTGGACTATTGAAAGGGAAGCCTACTACTTTATTATGATTTCAGTATCATAATGATTAATAAATGCATGCACAATTATCAGTGAACTTGATAAATGTTGTAGATATGTTTTAATATGCACAAACAAATGCCTTTCAACTTGTGTGCAAAATTCAGAATTTAATAAATGTGCAGCAATTTGTCCAAATAGAGTCTGTATATGTGTTGTAGCCATAATAAGCGCATTTTCATATTATAATGTTTTTTTTCCATCTATGTTAATTATGAAAAGTATAGCCTACGCAATATATCGGGAGACATGGCCAGACATGATTTTGACCACTTCATTAAGTGTTGTTTTGTAGAAAGCCTTTCTTTAAAGTGAATTTCGTTTTGTATAAATTCTATCTTAATTTTAATCAATGTTTCATCAACAAATTGTCTGGATTTAATAAGAAGTAAATAGTAGAAAATCATCATGACACGGAGGCGCGTGAACTGGACTCTTGTCTAATAAATTAACCGAAACATCATAATAGGCTGTAGTAGGCTACTTGCCTCACAGATCTGATAAATATATAGAAAGCTTGACATGTCTACTTTTTAACAGAACAATTCAAAACGAAAGAAAACAGACAGACTGCTCTCTGCTTATGTAATCCGAAATGTGCATTTCTCTCTGGCGCTTATTGCGAAGATCGCGAGTCAGCATCACCACCTTTATATTTGCAACCGACACTGACAAAGACTTGTTTATTAATAAACAATTAAAATGTCCCCTTGCTATATTATTCATAATCGTTACTTTTGCTGTTGGCAGGGGGAGCATTGCCCCCCCTGGTGGCTGAAACCCGTTTAAAAAATTTTTTGCATTGTTAAAAAAAATATATATTATAAATATTTTAAATAACACAAAACAACTAAATGGTGGTAGGTAATACACATCTGATTTTATATACTGCTTTAGTAAAAAAAAAAACTGCAATGGAAACAGGTTTTGCGCATTTACAGTCAGCTGACTTAGAGAAGACGCGGGGATAATAATAATAATTATCATCATTATTATAACATTTATTAGGCTACATAGGCTATGTAGAAGACGCTTATCAAAAAAAGGAACAAAGCGATTCGTCACATATCATTCATAATACAGGGCTAAGATGATCACAAATGGGCTAAACAAGATTTTGACGCATATCCAAGTGTGTGTGCGGAATGTGGAGCGCGCACTGGATGGCACGGAGGCGCGGGGCGCGGGCGCGAACACTTGCATTTTTCTATCAACAGTGGAAACAACTTAAAATAGGCTAGCCTACTCTATCATTTCTGGTCATACAGAAAATAATAATACATTATTCGCAACTACTTTTATTTGTGTACACTCACAATAACAAGAAAACGTTGTGCTTTTGTAAAATAAAATAAAACAATCAGGCGCGCTTCATGGTCTCCGTGAACTGAAGCGCTATAACTGAAACAAAATAGCCTAAGCTAAAGCTTAAAATGTCCACTTTAAAACGAACAAATTCGAATCGAAAGCTAATACCTTCTGATTATGTAATCCGTATGAGAGGTGCATTTCTCGGTGCATCCGCCGTATACAGCGGAGATGGAGATATGTTTTAGCCGACACTGATTTTTTATTAATAAACAATTAAAATGCCTTGTTATTTTTTCAGACACATTTATTAATTAGTATAGCCTATAACTCACCTATAAATCCCCTTTCTGTAGCCTGTGGTTATCTTCTCATTCAGCACATACGGGAAAAATATAATTTCCAGGTTCTAATTTGGCCTTAGAAAACCAGTTAAATCTACATTTTTTCATATTAATTTGTCAATATTTTTAATGTTTAATAAAGGGGCAAAAAGTCATAAACAAAAATCTGAAAATTCGTCCATATTATTTATTTTGCGCAGCATTTGGTGTGTAGCAGTTCAAATTAAAATTTTGGTGTTCGACTTTGCGTTTTAAAAATACAACCGTTTATTTTTCGTTTTGCAATTACGGCTTAAATAAGGAAAAACGAATGGACACAAAAGTACACTGACCGTTTGGACATAATACGAGACAGAGTTCTTTATCAAATTCATAAAAGAAACAATAATTACAGGAATACTGGATTCTAAACCTCAAAGAAATGCCACAATCAAGACCTCGGAGCAGAAATGAGGGAGAAACAGCCAGGAACTCTTAGGCTAGGCTATGTGCCGTTCGCAGTATAAGGGTCTGCCATTAATGCTTGGATAACACCACGTCTCCTTCCATTAATAATAATAATGTTTAAACTAGTGCGGTGGCTGTGATATAGCCTAGGCTTTAAACCTACCAACATCCGGTTACCATGATTTTTGGAATGACTTATCGCGAGAGGAAAAAAAATACATTTTAGTCGCATAACATCGGTTAATGGAAACGCCGTCATTTCGCAATAGTTTTTTATCGACATTTAGAAAAAGTCGCAAAAGTTTTGCGCAAATCTGTAATGGAAACGCGCCTAATGATTACTACATGAATGAATGAATGCTACAATGATTTTTTTTTTGCCCCCCCCTGGCTCGAATGTCAAACTCCGCCTATGGTTATTGGCAGCGCCACCCTTA